ATCTATCTATCTATCTATCTATCTATCTATCTATCTATCTATCTATCCATCCATCCATCCATCCATCCATACATCCATACATACATACATCTAATTCTATCTCTCCATATCTATCTATCTATCTATCTATCTATCTATCTATCTATCTATCTATCTATCTATCTATCATCTATCTGATTTCTTACCCAAACCAAATGTGTAAAGAATGAAAATTAATAATAACAACCAGGAGGGACACCAACACTCTTGAACTCTATATTTATTCTAGGTCTCTCACTACCAGCATTCTCCTTTGAGGCAGAGAAAGAGAAAAGTTTAACTTGAAATTCACTATATCATCTACTTTCCTCCTTTAAATTATTTAAATACCTTGATGATTCCTGAAAACTATCAGGAAGGAAACTAAATAGAAAAAAAAATGTTTCCAGGGCCAGAACTCTATATTACAGACAATAACTGCATATATTTATATGTTTATAACCAACTATATTTTTAAGGTTCAAATTTTAGAACAGACTCAATTATTCATTGCCATAATAGCTACGTTTGCTAACATGGATGGTTTTAAAAAGAGATTAGAGCATTTTCTAGAAACAAGGATGTTTGCCATTATGCAAGGAATATAGGGAACTGCCATATCTAGAGGGAATAACTTCTGACATCCAGATCCAGGAGACAAAAAAAAAGCTGTATATTTTTTATCCTGATTGAAGTAGAAACCTACCCTAAACACCAGGTTGGTCACTGTTAAGAATGGAAAGTAATAGGTTTGTGTTTATATGGTAGACTTCTATTAATTCCAAGATGCACAGCGTAAGGCAACCCATCTGAGCAGGGTGATTAAACCATGAATTTGGACTGTTTTCCAGAGATCGGCATGTACTTTTCACCCCTGATTACTGAGCACGATGGCCAGTGTTAATGGGAGTTGGAACCACGATGATGTTGGAGAGACATTTCCTGTCCCAGTTATTTTTCAGTAATAATAACTATTAAAAAGGAGGTGGATTATTGCAACGTGCTTGGTATCAGCCAGCCTGGCCCTACCAGTAGACAGAGTAGGGCAGCTATCCCAGGACATAAAAGCTGGGTGCTGTCAACTCTTCCTCAGCTGCCCCTTATGTTAAAAGCCTAACTTGGTCTAGATCCAAAGCAAAGCCATCTGCTCCCCCACCAGCTTGTCTGTTCATTAAAATCCACTGAAAGTTCTGCATCAAGGACTCACTGCTTCTTAGGATGAGCAATAAGGCATTCTGGGTGGATAGTCCACATTGTTGGGAAAACCTGGGATTTGGGTGACCCTCTCTTCCAACTTGTGAAGTCATTGGAGGAGGAGTCAAGGTTGGCTTTGGTCTCACCAGGAGGCCCACAAGGTTGCCAATTTTGGAGATCCCTGGTCTAGTGCCCCCAATTGCACCCTTTCCTGGACCAGGAGGCAATTGCTGACAGTCACGTCTTGCATTATGCAATGCAATTTACAAAGAGCTGCCCTTGAAGACTACCTGAAAACTTCAATGGATCCAGAATGCAGCAGCATGCACTGCAATGGGGCCCGTAAGTTTGCCCATGTAATATTATTTATTTGCCTTTCTTCTACACCAGCTTTTTCTCATATTTCCCTGCCATCATCTTCCGTGTGAGGTTGGGACTTCTGAGCCATACGAAGCAAGAGATCCTCTTTGAGCTAAATAAGTAAGTACTTGATGAAGGTGTAGATACAAATAGAAGATGGGAACATTTCCCTTTCTTTTGAAAATGGCTCCGACAGAAATGTAGTCCCCACCCCTACCTCCATAAGGTGGAAGATAAAACAGCCAGAAGAAGACATACCACAGCACCTCATAATCTGTACAATCTGTAGATCCTTACCTTCATGCTTGGTGGGGCTGTAAAGGGTGGAGATAAAGGTCTCTCTGGAGTCGTTGCATCTGTGCTGTTCAGTGCCTCCTGTTTCCTGTAATAAAAAGACATCTATCTTAGTTTAACTTAGTTTAGCTTAGATACTTATATATTGGAAAGGGAAAGGAAGGGAAGGGAAGGGAAGGGAAGGGAAGGGAAGGGAAGGGAAGGGAAGAGAAGAGAAGAGAAGAGAAGAGAAGAGAAGAGAAGAGAAGAGAAGAGAAGAGAAGAGAAGAGAAGAGAAGAGAAGAGAAGAAGAGAGCACAAACTTTGAAAACGTTACACCAACGAAACTTCTTCACTTTTTGAAAAGAGCTGGAGGGAGGAGGGATTTCTAATTCTTGAGAGTTCACACTGAATCAAGGCTCTGCCCCATTACAATTACCCATAATAGCAGAGGAGGCCTTTCACCAGAACTTCAATGGAGCTCATCATACCTACTATGAAGGCTGCAGGTAAACTCCATTTGCAGGTAATTTCTAGACACCGGAGTAGCTGAGAGTGAGCTATATAGAGCTGGGTTTCTATGGTGACAGGATTGCAAAAGAGATCCTTCTCTCCCTCCTGTTCCTCTCCCCCCCCACCACCACAGCACGCGCGCGCACACACACACACACACACACGCACACGCCTTGTCCCCGGTTCCTCCATCTGCTCTTATCTATTGACTCGGCAGTGTTTGCTCATATCTTTCTCACTCTCCACCTAAAGGACACCATGCATGCTCGAACAAATCTAGTGATGGCTATGCCAGGAATTGCCAAGGAGTTGCAGCCAGGTTTCTCGTGGTCTGAATCAGACTGAAATCATGAAGGAAAGATAAATCACACACAAGGGAGAAGTTGCAAAACGGGTGTAAGGAGGGGAGATATTCTCTCACATTCCGAGATGAGGGCACAGAATAGGACAACAGACATTTTCCCTTCTGTATGTCTTCCCTGGACACTAGTCTCACAATCGATACAAAAGCTACAAGTGGCACAAAGAGCCATGGAAAGATACATGCTCAGCATTACAAGATAAGACAGAAAGACATGTGTGTGGATCAGAGAACAAACGAAAGTATACAATATTCTCAAGAGTGCAAAAGAACTGAAATGGAAATGGGCTGGTCACATAGCAAGAAGAACTGATGGCAGATGGGCCAAGGCAGTCATAGAATGGATCCCACTTGATAAAATTGTCCACGAAAGTGACCTAAAACAAGATGGACCAAAGATCAAAGCAAGATATCAGCAGGCCCAATTGGCAAAAGAAAGCTCGGGACGATATTGCTTGGAAACAAGCGGAAGAGGCCTTCATTCTGTAGTAGAGAGCCAATGGCTAGATGATGATGATGATGATTAGTTTCAGATAACATAACAGTTGGAAGGGACCTTGAAGGTCTTCTAGTCCAACCCCTTGCTCAAGCAGTAGAACCTATACCGTTGCAGACAAATGGATGTCCAATCTCTTCTTACAAACCTCCAATGATGGAGGCACCCACAACTTCTGGAGGCAAGTGGTTACACTGGTTACACTGGTTACACTGGTTACACTGGTGATAGGTGCACCATTGGAAAGTCTGATGGACCGGGTTGGGGACAGATTGTCCTGGAGAAAATCCATCTGTGCTAAGAGGTGACACAAACTTAATGGCATATAATCTGTTGATCAATGCATAAGCTGTGCTCTATTTTTATACAGTCTTGGCATCCCTCAAAGGGCGTAAACACCCCAAACTGATACAGGAAGTCCTCAACTTACAACCATTTAGTGAGTTTGAAGTTATGATGCCAAAAAGGGTGACTTACAACCAATCCTCGCACTTACAACTGTCGTGGCATCTCCAGGGACATGTGATCAAAATTCAGGTGCTTGGCAACCAGCATGTATTTACAATGTTTGCAGCATCCTGGGGTTGTGATCACCATATGAACCATGGCGGTGCAGTGGTTGGAATGCAGTATTGCAGGCTAACCCTGCCCACTGTTAAGAGTTCGATCCTGATTCAGCCTTCCATCCTTCCAAGGTCGTTAAAATGAGGACCCAGATTGTTGGGGGCAATATGCTGACTCTGTAAACCACTTAGAGAGGGCTGTAAAGCACTGTGAAATGGTATATAAGTCTAAGTGCTGTTGCTATGGCTATTGGTGTCCTTCCCAGCCAGCTTCTGATAAGCAAAGTCAACAAGGGAAGGCAGATTTACTTAACAACTAAATGATTTGCTTAACAACAGAAGTGATTGGCTTAACAACTATGGAAAAAATGGTCATAAAACTGGGCACAACTCACTGAACAACCACCTTGCTTAACAACATAAATTCTAATCCCAATTCTGATCGTAAATCAAGGAGCACCTGTAGTCCACGTTTTGTTTCATTGAATGAGAAAGATGTAGAAACTCCAAGTGCTTCAGTGTGAATTCCCTTCCAAAGCCAACTCAGTGGTTGAATGGGATTACAAGACACTCGAGTGATAAGAACCTGAGAAATTTAAAAATCCTGGTGGAGTAAGCCAATAACCCATTAAGCCTAGCGTTTCTTGGTTGCACAGTGGTCAACCACATGCATTCAAAGATCCCATCAAGATGACCAAAAAGGGGAGCGTCTTTTTTCTGTAATTGGTCACTTAGCTATGATTCCACAGATGGCCAACCGCCATCAAGATTAGTCATCACTGACAGAGCCTCAGTCTTCTCCTGAATTTGTCCCATCCTCTTTAAAAAAAACCAACTCAGTGGATGGTCTTCATTATATCCGATGGCAGTAAATTCAACAGATTAATTCTCCCATTGTGTAAGGAACCATTCCAGTCAATCGGTGTCCCTTCTCTCCAGCATACAGTTTTAATAACGTATAATCACAAACCTTTCATTTGTAGCAATGGGTGGTTGATTTGTCGGTGTCTGAATCAATTCTTGTTGCCGTTTTATTAAAAGGGCAAAGAAAGAAGACTTTCGAGCACCATGGTTCACATTTTTGAATTTATTTGGTATAAAACATAAACTGCAATGCCCTTCCTCCCTTTTTTCCGTTTTTTTAAATTGCCATGTTTATCTGTTTGGAGATTGGGTTGATCCTTTTAAATGCTGTTGCTTGGCATCTACATTTTCTCACATTCAGCATAATTTACCTGAGGATTTTTCTCATGTTTGGCATAATTTCTCTGAGCATGTTTATTTTTAAATAATGGTCAAAGAGGGAGAAAGATTTTACCCCTGTTTCAGGTTTGCAAAAGTGTTTTTTTAAAGTAAAACTGCAGATGATTAAGATTAGAGGAATAATCACCTCCATCACTTTTTCAATAAAGGACTATGAATGCTCAGTAGCTATAGGACTTTGAAGATTAATTGGGAAAGGAAGGGAATTTAAAAAAAATAACCAGTAGGAAAGGATTAAAGTACATTAAAAACATCTGTTAAGCTTCAGTAATTTGGAGTAGGCAAGGAAACCATGATCAAATTTCAGATGTTTGGCAATTGGCTCATATTTATGATGGTTGCAGTGTCCTGGGAACATGTGATTTCCTTCTGACAACCAAAGTCAATGGGGAAGCCAGATTTACTTAACAATCAGTAACTTAACAATTGCAGTGATTCACTTAACAACTCTGGCAAGAAAGGTTGTAAAATGGGGCAAACTCACTTAACAAATGGCTCACTTAGCAATAGAAATGTTGGGCTCAATTATGTTCATAAGTCGAGGACTATCTGTGGCGTCTTTAGCCTGGAGGACGATTCTTGAAATGCCTCTGCTAGCCCCAAAGACTTTGGTCTCAAAAAACTGTCTATACCTTATCTTTAAAAAATGGTATTTAAAGAATTTCCGGTTTGTCGGCTTTGCGAGCGGTAGGGATTCGCGAAGCTGCGCGATCCCTGCCGCGCTAGCCGCTTTTGGGGCTCCGATCCAAAAGGCTGCGGAGCAAGGCTGCCCTGCAGGGGCAGCTGAAGGTAGGGGGGATCCGGAAAAGGGTTTGGGGGTGTTGCAGACCCCCTCCCTGGCCAGCAGAATCCCCTTTTACCAAGACGGCGTAGCGGCGGTCCGTAATGGCCGCCACAAAGAAGCCGGCAGCTGGGCAAGTATGCGCAGAAGGAAGAGGAGAAAGTTTTTAAAAGTGAAAGTCTTCTTGGTCGATCCAGGACTCTGAGATATATTTAATTTAATTCCTGGAAGTGACGGCTTTTTGGAGGATTCTTTCCACAAGAGAAAGTAAGCGGCAATTCTGAGGTGCTGAAAGGAAAGTTTACTCTCCCTCCCGACGGAATTAACAAACGGATATTGAGAAACCTGTTTTTTTTTTCAGGTAAAACTAGCTTTATGGGATAAGTCGGAAGGGAGAGGACAAAAAATATATTTATCTGGTTGGATTTTGTTGGAGGAGATGCCTTAAGGATTTGGAGACAGAAATAAAATTTTAATAAGGCTTTAAAACACAGATTTGGATTTTCTTTTTTCCTTTGTCTGATACTACCCCTGGAAGAGAAAGAGGAAATTTTGGCTTGGCTTGGATTGATTGAGGATTGTGGACTTTGGGATTGTCTTACTTTTCTTTTGGAATATTTTGGTTGGAGTAAGAAGAAAGAGGGAAAAAAGAAAAGAAAAGATTTATAATGGCTTTCTCCTTTGAGGAACTGAGGGATGAATATGAGCAAACAAAAGCAGCCTGTAAAGATGGTATGGAAAAAGCTTTTCTATTTTTAGAAATGGCGCTGGTTAACTATGAACAGACAATGCGACAGATGGAACAACAACAAGAAGAAGACGAAGACACCATCTTTAATGAATCCCAAAATTTATCTAAGAAAGAAGGAAGGAAGAAAGCGAGGAAAATGAAGGACTTAAGATCTAAAAAAACATTTAAGAAAGAGAAAAATATGATGCAAAATAAATACAATGATA